AATGTCTCTTATTTCCAAATTTTATATGCAAAAATAATACATTAAACAACTTGATGCTTGGGGATTAAAAGGATTTTTTTTTTCCATTGCAGTTTATAAAGGTCAACTTTAAAACAAATAACTGCTGAGCCATATGTAATTGGTGATATTTACACAAAAAACTCTTATCTTTGTTTTAATCAGCTTTCTCTTTGGCAGGAGGACAAATACTTGTCTCTCATTGCCAAGACATCCCACAATGCACAATGCTGAACACAGCCCTACCTCCTAGGAACAACATGAGTTCTGGGTAGGGAGAAAGCAGGTTCATTGTTATCTCATACACCCACTCCCTCTATAGAATCCCCTATAGAGAGAATGAAGTGCATGAAGCAGCAACAAGGACAACTCTACAAAGCTGCTGGGTATTACATTCAGTTAGCCTCACCCATTCCCAGAGACAAACAACCCCAGAAGATGACATGAAGGTACATGCGTGGATTTCATGTGTGCAGGAGGACAGGCGTGCAACCTGAACATCAGCACTGTAACCCAAGGTCTCTTACACATAAATGCATAATAGAATCATAGAATCCTAGAATAGTTAGGGTTGGAAAGGACCTTAACATCATCCAGTTCCAACCCCCCTGCCATGAGCAGGGACAACTCACACTAAACCATGTCACCCAATGCTTTGTCCAACCTGGCCTTGAACACCGCCAGGGATGGAGCATTCCATAAATGCATAAGGATCCCATAAACAGAGCAGATTTTTCTGGGTACTTGGCAATACACTTTGTGCATCTGAGTTTGGAAACTGCCTCCAACATTTCCAATGGTTAAGCAGCAAGCTTGCTATAGGGAAGTCAACATACTAAAAGAGAGCTAGAACTGGATTGAAATAATTTGATACACGTTCCCTAATTAGGGAATTTTTGAATTCTTTAATGCTTATTATCATTTGCATGTGGACAGCTGGATTACTCGCAGGTTCCTGTTAGCTTCTGCAGATACAAACCTCAGCAGTGGGAAAAAACCTGTAACATGCAAGATGTAAAATATCCTTCGTGTAAATGAAGATCAGGTTTATGCACTTTATCACATATACATAAAATCCACACACTCTGAACTACATTGAGTCTTTCATTCTGCCACCTGGCAGGGGCAAGTTGAGAGCAGGCATGGATAGAGAAAACAAAACACCATCCATGATTAATTGTAAAGAGATCTTCCTCTTTCAAAAGAAGGAATAGTAGCAAAGTATATGGGCATACCCCTTTCTACAGCTTTATAACGTATTGGATATTATATGTAACCTTCAGCAAATCCACGTTTTCTCATCTGTTAATAACTGAGATCCTTTCAAGACCTTCCAACTGAAACTAAAATATGATGTTTAACATCAGACCATGCACAGCTTGTGGGTCTCATTACACTTACCAAAGTAATGTTTGCACGTTCACAAGCTTCCCTCCTAGGACATTTCTCTAGTTGTAGATTTCGATGTACTACCACTGATTGCTGTGCCCTGCCCACCTCTGCACTGTTGTGTACAGCATGCAGTGACTCACTTAATATTGTTGATACTGGCTTCAGGCTACAAGCAAAAGGAGTTGAAATTGCCTGGGAAAAAAATGGCCTCTTAGCCGTACAGATATTCTCTGTGTGACTTTTGCACATTTTAAGTATGGTACTAAATAGAAGTGCTCAAGAGACATGGAAAGAATGATGTAGCTGGAAGCAGGTCTCGGGGTCATACACTGATGTTGCCCATTGCAGGTGTATTTTATTGCAGTGAGGCAACAAGTAACTGAAGTGGTTTAGGCTGAAATTGATTTGCAACACTGGGCCATGAAAGTCAGAGATGGAGAAGGTCGTGAAGACCATCTCTTTGTCAATGCACAAACAATGCTGCTGGACTGGGCTGAAAACTGATGAGCAAAACTCAGGTCATTTTTCTGAGGCAGCTGAGGCTGTCATCATCAGAGAACTCATTAACTTTGCACATTTGCTATGCTGCATAGCAGCTCTCCATAGCCCCATGTTTCACATGGATACCAAGCATATAAAGTCTGTAAGAGTATAACTTTCACTGAGTACACCCAGAGGAGCTACACAGTCGGTGTGAAAATACCTAACTTCAGGAATTCAAAACCCAGGGAATAAAGCCATGTGTGCCGAAAAGTTGGCAACGGCATATATATCCTTGTGCCAGGAAGGCTTTTGGTGATTAGTGAGATAAAATAAGGATAGAAAAGGCAGGAAGGGAAAATTCCCTATCCTTTGTGCGTTTATAGATACACACAACTCCGTGTTGTAATCATCTCTGTGGCAAAGGGGAGATTTTAACAACGGTGCTGGAAACTGGATGGCCCCTGGGTGGTAGTGAACTGGACTTTCATTCCTCTTGGACAATCTTTTTTAGCTGAATTTGTGCTCTCAAACTAGTCTCCCTAAGCTGCACATTGACTAAGCCACCACATATTGTCTTGTTGGTTAGCAACCTTGGGATAGTCAGAGTAAGGATGAAATGGCCTATCAGAAGTTGGGAAGATTGAAAAAGCCTAGCATGATAAGTACTTTGTGCAATGACTAGCCCAAACCAGAGCCAAACCAGTTTCTGGCTTCCCAGAACATTAAATTCAAAAGGAAAAGTATATAATGGATTTTATTATAGCTTGACTCAAGGTAAATTCTTGATTAAAGAAGACATTACTGTCTGTAAGCTCTGTAATTTTCCTTGCACACACTAATCATTCCAGCTTCCCACTACACTAGTACATATTAATTTTCAGTTTTATAGCTTTCAGTGAATTCTTAAATATCATTTACTTTTTCCTCACACGCACTGTTTATTTTTATTTGTCGAGACATCCAACAAAAACTGCAGAAACACTGCATTATCTTGTAACGGCATTCAGACATAAACCCAGGGCGACAAAATGTATTCCAGTAATTTAGCTTCTGTGACAAAGTAAGTAGGGAAGAAATATAGCCTCATGGTGAAGACAGCAGCCTAGACTTGGAAAAATGGATTTGAGACTCTCTTTTACCACTGCTTTCTGATTTTACTTTAGGCGAGTCACTTCATTCTCAACCCTTAAACAACTTGATGTAATGCGTTATCACTTTTCCTGCATGAAGGAAGGCACCCAAATGAACTCTCTATGCCTCAGCTCTCCTCCCATAAAAGGAGAGTAGTGGTGCTCATCTTCACAGAGGAGCAGATGGGAACAAGAGGAAATGAAGTTTTTCATTTAACCCAACAACAAGCGGAGCAAACTCTTCCCACAGCTCTCTCACATCCATGTGCTGTGGGAGGCTGCATCACCCCCCCCCACTCTGCTTCACAAGCCTGTGCCCTTCTGGTCATACCAAGATCGCTAGTGAAGATGGGAGGTAATGCTGATACAGGTACCTGTGCTCTGATGGTTGTACTGAAACTGTCATTTAGTTTATACAGAACATCAAATGGGCACTGAATGCTGATAAAGTGAGGGGTTTTATTACCAGTCTGTGCTTCTGGGTAGGGAATCATAACTGCTAAAATATCTAAGCACTCCAGAGCAAATTTCAACAGTTTTTTGCCTTAAGGACCATCTCATAGATGATGCGAGATAATACTGCTTTGAAACTTCTATTTTTATCTTCAGAAGTATAGAATCTGACCTAAAAATTTCACATGGGGATATTTATACTAGCTACAAGAGATTGTTTTAATCAGAATGTGTTTGAAAGATTATCTCACATTCTGCTGGTAGACCCACTGAAACACAGTTATTACACAGTATAGAAATCAGTATCAACACCACCTCCTCAGGCATGCCTAGTCAGGACACAGGGAGGTAGGAGCTGCCTGCCAGTGATTTAAAGGGTAGCAGCTTTGGAACGCATTTTAGCAACAAGGCAGGGGAGAAATCACAAAACACAAGGTATCTCCCCAGTTTGCTTTTAAAGTTCAGAAGTAGTGCACCATAAAAGTGATCGGGTGCTTTGGGTTTAAAACTGAACAAACTCAGGTGTCCCTGCTGATGCTCAAGGCAGATTGGTCTAGAGAGGTAAAATCAACTTCTAAACTCTCAGCCATATCTGCAATCAAAAGCCACTTCCAGGAAGCTTTGCTCTCCATGTCCACAGTAGCCAGGATCTGGATGCCCACCACCCCTCTCCAGCTCCCCCCTGTCCCATCTCAAGCTCTGCAAACCCAGATGGCCCCATGGCTGTTGTTCATGAAGGATCAGTCCTCTCCAGCTCTTGACTGGTCACTCCAGCCTCATGTTTCATTGTCTTATCCCCAGAACTGACATTTATTTGACAGCCCCCTGCAGTACAACCAGATATTCATAAGAACATGGGATTTAAGTTAGAGGGGGTCTCAGAATGCTCTAGATCTAGTTCTTGTAAATATTTCATATGGTTCCAAGGCAGGTGATCTGCAAGGGTAAAGTCATGTTAGTAGGAACACACCAATGTCCATCAGTTGTGGATGCGCCTTTAAGAAGCGGAGAAAAAATGAGATCTAAGATCAAAATATCAAGGCCGTGGTACTTTCCTGTACTTAAAACAAAATCAATGAGAAGAGACATACAGCTGGAAGGAAAGCTAGCTTGATATAATCACAGTAAATTAGAAGTCTTTTAAGGCAACGGATGGTGTATTTTCTTCCTCAGAATCAGGCATTTCAAACATTGACAGACCTAGCAAGGCACAATCGATAGATCAATTCCTTTGTGAACTATTAATTATATATATCGCTGATGAATAATCATTTAATTAGCATAATGGGAGGCCTCGGTGAAAAGCCTGTCTACCGAGTGTACTGGACCTAAAAATAGCAATAGTCTTTCAACCGTGAGGCTTTGCATGAAAATGCTATTGCTCAACTTCTGGCCTTAACACTTGTCACATCGCTCGGCCAACCCAGAGCTTTGCTAATGAAGCTTTTCCCCTTTACCACAGCAGTGCTGCCATACATAATTAGTTCCTCTAAGCCATGGCGACAAGGGTTCGGTAGGGATTACCTGGATCAGTTCATCAAGCTCGGTTGCATTCACGCAGGAATGCTGGGATACAAACGTCTGCTTCTGAATCACGATGGTGGTTCTCTGGGAGGTCTCATAAGGCTGCTCCAGGGCTTTAAATACTGTTGCTCCAATTATTAAATACACCACTACCACCAGGAAAATTGTTGAGACCGTCTTCCATTTCATAACATTAATGGCCGAATCACTTTCCTCCCGTGAAGAGAGCACGGTAGGCTTGGTGGAAAAGGATAGTCTGGGCTTGGAGTTCTGAGTGGCCGATTTCGGATCCAGCAAGTCAGGTGCCGCCACTGGCAAAACAGAAAAGGGAAGTTAATTTTTACAGCCCCACTTGGGTATCAGCAACTGAACTTCTTGCCAAGGTCGCTTCTAACTGGAATTCTTGAACTGTTGAATCTTTCCCTTAAATCGCATGGCTCCTCACAACAAACCTGCTGTTCTGACTAGTGTGATCCATTTTACAAGCGCACACACACATCTGCAACGTTTTCTACATGCATCTGCTCCCTCATGATATTCAACCATTTCCAAACTGCAGATTTCCCCGACACTCTTGCATTTCATTACACTACTGTAAGGTGGTATTTTGCTGCAGAGATTCTTTACACTCGCTGCTCTCTTAAGCACTGCTAAGCAGCTTTCCAGCTGTGCTCTACTTTGGCGTTACAGAAGTAGCAGAAGCATACAAATCCTTCTTTCCCTCTTCTATTTTGTCCTGCGTGCAGACAAATGCTCTCTGAGAACACAATCACATCCAAACTCCCCAGACACGACCATAAAAACAATACATTGCCCATCATACCAGCCTTGAAGTGTTAATTGCGTATCAGTTACACCTCTCAGAACGGAACAGTAAACCATATGTGTACTTACTGGAAAAGTCACCCATATTTTAGAGTGTGCATTTTTATTTACTTAAAATAATGTTTTAGTCAAACATTTATACATTTATTTAAGCATTTATACATTAAAAAAGTATGTTATTGACATAAAATAATTTCCTAACCCCACCGGGTTAGGAAAAGAGCAGCTGAGCGCGTTGTCAAGTACCTCAGTAATCCATGTGACTACCAGCAACTCTCTGGGCACTAAAAACAAACCCACCACATCAAGCGCAGGTAAAGGTCTCCTGTGGGAAGATGGCCCCAGCAGCTGACCGCACAGGCTATATTTGAAGTGCTTTGAAACACAAGTACATGTTGAACGGCCGCCACTACGCTCCCAGCTGCCGGTGGGAAAAGCCCACATCTAAATTGAGGGAAGACTCCCTCAGGCCAGCGAAGTGGGACACGGCCCCAGCACGGGTGGCGGCGGTGCGTGGCTCCTGAACACCCGCGGGCTCAGGCCTCCAGCCCGGGCTGATGGGGAACCCCGCACAACCCACGGTCACGCCTCCCGCTGCCCCACGGGCAGCCAGAGGATGGGCACGGTGCCCCCCCCTCCCGGCGCCCCACACCTTAGCGGAGGACCCGGTTCCCCTCTCTCTGCCCCTCCGAGCCGACACACACGGTGCCGGGGGACGCGACGCTTCCCTGCCGCGGCCGCTCCCCGCTTCCCACTCGACCGGGGCCGCCGATCTCGCCGCCCGCCCGCCCGGAGCAGCGCCGACCCGCCCGGCGGCGAACAAAGGAGCGGGCACCGGGCACCGCCGCTCCACCGCCCCCGAGCAGCGGCCGCTCCACCGCGCCGGGTGATGCCCGGAGCCGCGGCCGGCAGGGATGCTCCGCGTCGGGGCGCGGTGCGGAGCCGGGAAGGGAAGGGAAAGCAGCCGGGCGAGGTACAAAGGGGCCCGGGCCGCCGCGGCGGTGCGGGGAGCATCCCGGGGTCCCCCCTCCCCGCGCAGGGGCGCATGCAGCATCCGCAGGACTGGGAGCGGGGAAGCACGCCATTGTGCTCGTACTCACTTCTTATTTACCGACCCGGTGCCCTCTCCTCGCTCCACGGGCAGGCATTTTTTCAGGGCTTGGGTAGATACAGTTAGAGCAAATTAAAAAAAAATATATATAAAACCCATAAAAAAATAAGAAAGGAAGAAAAGGCAGGAAGGAGCTGACCGAGGGGAAGAGGCTGACGGATGGGTCTGGAGGAGAGGGAGCGGCAGGGCGGGCTCGCTGGCAGCGCGGATCCAGCCGGCTCCCCACGGCCCCGGGGCGTGCGAGGTGCCTCACGGCGCGCATCGCGCATCGCACATCGTGTGCGGAGTGTGTGTGTGTGCGAGCGTGAGGCAGTGAGTGTGAGGCAGCGTGTGTGAGGCAGTGTATGCGAGGCAGTGCCTCTGTGCAGGCAGTGTGTCTGTGCAGGCAGTGTATCTGTGCAGGCGGTGTGTCCGTACGAGGCAGTGTGTAAACGTGAGGCAATGTGTCCCTGCGTGCTCCGGCGCTCGGAGCGCACGGAGCACCCCAAGCCCGGCGATGCCTTTTGTGGGGTGCCGGGCAGCCGGGCTCCCCCCCCCACACACACCTCCCCGAACCCCTCCGCCCGTCCGCCCCCCCCCCCCCCCTCCTCGGCAGCGGGGGCAGTTCCGTGCCCCGGCCGGGCAGCGGGCAGATGCTGCAGGGGCGCGGGGAAAAAGATGGAGGCGGGAGGCGGGGGGGAGGCAGTGCGGTACCTGCGGAGACCCGGGTCTCGCCCCTGGAAACGAGCGAGGAGAGAGGCGGGAGGGAGGAGAAGGCACCGGCCGCCCCTCCGGCGAGGCAGGACCTGCCTGCGGTACTCCCCAGGCGGGCGCCTCGCCAGGCTTCCCGTGAACTTTGGGACGGGAGGAAATGTCACGGCGGCGGCAGCGGGGGGACGAGCGGCCCCTGGCTCCCTCCTTGCCGGCCTGGCCTGATTTTTAACCCGTGTGATCAGCAGCAGCGCGGTGCTTTAACACAAGGAGTTAACTAGGTGGGAGCTGGAAGTCAGGGATGGTAGCTGCTCTCCTATCGCACGCACCGCCGGCGTCCCGCCTCCTTCCATTTTAGTCTGATAGATACATCAGAAATGCTGCTCCAGCTGTGGTTTCTGACACTAAAAAGCCTGAAATTGCTCTTGCTACCTCTGCCACGGGCTAGCTCCCCGATTTCCCGGTCATCTGTCACTTGCGACACTATCGGTTGTTCACACCGAGGTGATGAACATCTACACTCACTTAAAAGACAGAAGGGGATCTGCCAAGAGAATCCCAAGCCTGGTCCCACAGCCACTCCGTAAAAAGTCTCTGCAAACACGTTACAAAATTACTGCCTATAACAAACGGGTGCAGGGCACAAGCATTTAAAGCTGAGGATGTAACTGCAAAATGGCCAAAGTTAGTCATACATGGGGTGCTTAATGGGCTATAATCATGCTTAAACCAGCAACACCATCAGCAAACACTTTAGAAGTCACTTATTTTAACGCTTCTCCATATCAGTGTGACATAATACAAATGAGTGCAATTCTGACTTCCTTAGGACTCCAATTTCAGCAGCAGCAATCAGGCCAGTATTCCCCAGAGTGTTCACGTATCTCCAGGGGTGCAGCAGAGGTCAGGAAGCTGCCTTTGCTATTTCAGGTTGAGCTCACTGCTCCCCATCACCACCAACCAACAAAGAAGTCGTCGAGTTAGAAGAGCTGTTGGGCCCAATCCAACTAAACCTTTGCAAGCAGACCTTCAGTCATACAGTCCACTTCACCAATGTAGTCCCAATCCTCAAACAACACAAGGGTGGAATGCCCGCTCCTGCCTATTGATATTCCCCTGCACACAGGATTCCCAAAGGTGAGAAATTTTAATGCCTCTTTCTTTTTTATTCCAATTAAAAAAAAAAAAAAACATCATCTTTCCCCCTTTCTCCTGAAAATATTTCTTAACTGTTACCCTATGGGAAAACAGGCATGAACATTTTCCTCCATGCTGACCTGTGTCTGTATAAAATATTGTGGAAAATTGTACTACATGCCTTTCTTTAGCAATCTAAATATTTGGAACAAGGTTTTTGTTTTTACTTGAGTGTAGGAATTATTATTAAAAGCTGAAAAAGGGTCAGACTTACTGCCTATAATTTTAAATCAGTGGGAAGCTTCCCAAGAGCTTCAGGAGGGTTTGGACCAGCCCTTAAATGTAGGTATTCCACCCCAAAGGGCAGAAAGCATGTTGAGATGCACTCCAGGAACGACTGCATTGGTGCCTTCCCTTTAACAGCTGAAGAGCTGTCTCTGTGAAAGTAATTATTTCCATTCACTATCTAGTAAATATCTCCAATGTCTACTTTCACTGGGCTGATATTTTCCACCTATTGTCACACTAGATACAATCCTCAGCTGGAGCTTACATAAATTGGACTTGAGCTGTGCTTTCTCACTTCTATCAGAGAGATACACACTTCCACACACGGCAGTCACCTTTAATGACAGACATCTTCAAATCCAGCAGGAAAGCCAGTGCTGTACAACAAAAGTGACCGTGGATAGCAGCTCCTGTTTTCTGGAGACCTTCTATAGCCCCAGCATTTGTTCTATGAAGTCATGCCCTCCAGTATGTTCATTGCAATGTACACCACGCAATAGTGTGTGTAACCATTTTGCCCTCAGATTTGGAACAGACCAGTTTGATGCATCAGGCCTGAGCTTTACTAAACAAACACACTCAAATGCAGTGTGTCACTGGCAAAACATACCACCAACCAACACGGATGAGATTAAGCAGTAAAAGAGGCTGCAACACAGAGCTCCAACCTTGCAAGCAAATGGGCTTGCTGCTGAGCCAAAGAGATTTATCTGAACAGATTAAAGAGGAAAGAAAAAAGGCCTGTAAGATTAAGTACATGCAGGTTTGTGCATTTCATGCTAATATGAGTAAGACTTACGAAGCAGAAGACTGTCAAATGCTGTCTAAAACTGTATTGGCATGAGTTTGGGATGGCCACATTACTCACAGACGGTGGGTGCTGGAAGCTGCTCAACTCTTTGAAATGTTAAAAGTAGTCTCCACTGAGAGAGTCAGGCATGCAGCATGCAGAGGAAGTCAGAGTTGCATGATAAACATAGCAATCACATATTCATACAAATAACAGCTGTAGATGATCTAAATATAGCTTCAATAGGACAGGAGCACACTTGTAAGGAAACAGTTATTCCAGAAAATAGCACCCTTGAAAGACCAACTTAAAAAGAGTCCACAAAGTGCCCTTGATGCTATCGCTTTCTTTTCCTTTTTCCAACTGCAGGAGCAGTTCCTTCGAAGGCCACAAAGAGCACTTGCTTTGTGCTGGCGCAAAGGGCTCCTGCTAAACCCTCACTTCTAGGTGCAGTAAATGCTCTTCCTCTT